ACACAATTCGGTGTTCGGTGTTTAATTAAAATCTTTATTTATTTCTGAATAGGATCTGAAACAATACACATTTCGAAAACCCATTGAGTTTGAAACAAATCCCAATCAGTGCCAAACGATAATCAGGCGAATGACTCATTGTTTTCTGCCAGACAATGGCGGATAGCGCATTGGCAATCCATTTTCTAAACGAATTTAACTGCCTGACATTCATTGCCAGTCATTGCCTTTCGATTGATTTCCTAGTAAATACGATATTTGATCTCCATTCTGCACGAAACATTTAACAGGAACTTTAATTGAATTGTCACTAGTTGATGGGCATCCTAATTTCATGCCAGCCCTTAACGAACTCAACTAAATGGATAATTCATCACGCATACGCACCGTTTGCTAATTACTCGAAGCATGTTCCGCAACAATTAAACAACTTGATGAAATTCAAAAGGGAAACTTGGCCCGGCTAAAAGTTTTCTGCTTATCCGGCATACTGGCAAGCTGGAAAGCTGGCAAACTAACAAGAAGCCAAAGTTGGCAACAACAGATGCAGTTTAAGCAACTGTCGCCGGCTGCACTTTATACCCTGATATCCTTCCATACTTACGCCAAGTGCAATTGTCAAGGCAAGGCTGCTGAAATAAGATTTAAGCCAAAGTTGTTTGGCGGTCGACAGAGCGAAGATGTTGAGTACTCGAGGTTAATCTGGAGAGAAATACGTTTAAATTTGCTCAAAAACGAAGCTCAAGCGTAATTATGTACAGGCCAAAAAGCAGTTTTACGAAATAATACCAACTGAATACTGATAAGTATATGGAACTTAGGGGAAGCATGGCAAAGCAAGAGGGAAAAGCACAAGGCAGCATCATCATCAAAGCACAATAATCATCATCAACATCAACAAACATCGGGGTAGGATCGTAGCACGGTCGGGAAAGCTTCATCGGTTCTTGGGGAAACATTTTTGGGGGAAATAAAACACAATCGACATTTTTGTTGGTTTTTTTTTTTTTTTTTTATAGAGAGGGTAGTTTTTCTCCGCTAAGGATTTTCAAAGTTTACTTTTATTTAGAGAAGTTCCTTTAATGATAATCATACTTATGCTTTGTTTTTCATTTTGGTTTTGTTTTCTTCATCGTCAATTAGCTTCTTTTCCTTTTGCTTACTGTTGTTGTTGTTTGGTTTTAGTAGATGTTTTTTAACAGCTAAATACATGTTCGTTATATCATACTATTTGAGTTTCGTGTTTGCTTTCTTCTGGTGTACTCCTTCTTTCTCGTGTGGTTTGGTTTGTTTGGTTTTTTTTTTTTTTACGTTTGCTGCGTTAAAATTCTCTTACTAACTAGTTTTTAGCTTTGGTTTTTTGTTTGTCTAAATTATAATTGTTTTGGTTTGATTTGGTTTCTGGTTTCGCCTTGGATGTAATTCGGCACCGTGAGTTTGTTTGTCTGAGTTCGCAATTCGACAAGTTTAAGAATCAATCATATCATATAAGTTTCAGAATCTTAATCTATATGTCCATATATCTTAGTAATTACGTGACTTAATACCCTAAATTGTAACAATAATTGTTTTTTCCACTGGTAAATAGTACACACATTTAATGAATACACATAGTAATATTTGCCATAAAGCGTATCTTTAATATTGAATTATTCTTTAATCGATAATATACTTTTGTTTGTTTGTGTTTTGGTTTTTTTGTCCATATATAATTTAAACACTTTCAATGAACTGTAACATCGACTTAGCGCCTAGACAATCGTCTTCTTCGTTTGTATTTTACCTAGTTCGACTCTGCTCTGCTCAAGGCAGCCAGCGGTTATCTCAGCTTTTGGCACATACTGTACTTTTGCTTCTGGGCAATTGCCTTTAACTGCCTTCACTTATCCGCTAGATTCTGTAATTGAGTTCGCTTCGATTCATGTAACTTTCAATAACTTTTGGTGTAATATTCCTCTGGTATATATTTATATATATGTAGATATTAATAGTTATTTTTAATTTTAACATTTATATAGTTGCATATGATAATGCTTAAACTTGCTGGAAAAATGACTAAATTTATCCTTTGCTTAACTTTTCCATCATTCCGTCTATCCTTTCACAAATGACCCTCAACATTAATTTTCTATGGTTTGCCCTTTTTGGTGACTAATTGTAATACGATTAATTAACGATTTTCGATTAAATACTGACAAAGTGTAAGTACACCTATTGAATGAGCTTCGTTGATGCCCCAAACTCAGTCAAAACTGTCGGAAAATCGTATGTTATCAAATCGAAGGAGACTTCTCAAGAACATATCCTTATTTGGTCGGCGACATTTGTTCAATTTTGGTGGCACCCTCACACCCATTTTGCCAGGACTCCATGCCTGGCTACTCCGCGTGCTTAATGCTCTCTTGAACGCATGTACTGTGCCGCGCGGGAACTAACAGGAACTAGCTAAATTTTGTCAGCCTGGACTGAGTTTGAGGCACAAAATTAAGTGCTCTTGCGTACGAGACTATACATTTATATATATTTTAACTTTAGCTTGAACTTTATGCTTTGATTTTTTAACTTCCAAGCAGACGTGCACACACTGCAGGGATATGAAGCATGTAAGTGACGACTGGCCACAACGATTGTTTCACATCCCAAGTTGTTGCCACAGTCTGTGAAGCCTGACAATGCCTTTAGGAACATGGTCAGCCTTCATGCCTTTTGATTATACTTCCATGAATCGTTTCAATCGTTTCCCTATTCGCCAATTTGTCATATGAGTATATAATATTTCGATTTATATATATAATTTTTATAACCACCAATACCTTATTTTAGTTTTGTGTGTGTTTGTTCTGCTCAATTTTGAGATGCAGCTTTTGTCCTTTTGGTTTGGAGACACTTGGTTTAGCCTTCGGGTTGTCTGGTGTTCGATCTTGACGTAGCGGCTTGCTACTTTGTGCTTCTCGTAATCCTAAACGTGTTCCACTGCCACACATCGTTTTGGGGCCCAAATAGTTCGTTGCTGTAGTTTTGGGCTCCTTGACTTGATTTCCCTAGATCCATTTGACTTTCCTTAAGATTTACCTCTAGTTCGTTAGCTATTGTGTTCTGATTCATCTTGTCCTCTGGGGACTTTCACTTCTCATTTCTTATTACGCCTTTCTTCCATTCGCTTTCTCGGAATTAGAGCCTTCTCTGGGCCTTCGTCTGCTGCTTTGTTTGCTGCTTATTTATAAGTTTACTTTTCTGCTTGTTGTAATTCGAGTTGCTGTAGAGTTTTGCGCGACTTACTTATAATTAATTTTACGCTGACTGCTCGATTTGCTACTTTGTTCCTCGACTTAATATTATCATTTAATGTGTTCATTTTAGTCGCTACATAATTGAAGTGTTTTTCATTAAGGATCTGTTTCATATATTATATATTCTTTTTTTTGTAACCTCAGTTTGTCGTTTCACTAATTTCAAGTATGTGTCGTGTTCAATGTGTTGTGTGTTGTGTTTTGATTGTTGTCTTTTTCTTTTCATCTTCTTGTTCATCCTAATGCTGAAAATATATATGTCTAACATATTAATGGAAATAATTGCGATAAGCTGAACTTAGCATTTTATTAACGTAAACTCATAAAATCGTCTTCGCTAGATATTTTTATGACCTCCTCTATCAAACAGCTGAACAGCGCCTTGTTTTTTCTTTGGGGGAACGGCCATTTGGGGCACGCCCTTTCAATATCGTATATAATAGTTAATAATATAATATAGTTTACTCTTGTTCGTTTTTGGTTTGTCAAGTCCATTCTGCAATTACGCATATAACATATAAAGTTTCAGCTGACTCTTGTGGATTTCTCTAAAATATTTCACTAAGCTGGTTCAACTATGATCCATACAAATATTGTGGGGTCTTCATCAATAATAGTTAGTTGTTTGTTCTTTCGTATGGTATTTCAGTGTTTTGTGTATGTTGTCTGCGTATATAATAATATCCCGCTAGTTAATCGTAAACATATTTGTTATAACTAAATATAATATTATCATCCTCGAGTAACTACAGCGTCTGCCTTTAAATAGCTCTTTTGCCTAGCATATAACTCTATAAGTATGTATGTTGTATATAAAATTATAGTATCCATATATTCGTATATACTAGATGTTGAATTAATCAAACACAATTGAATTTTTGCTCGGTTAGCGTTTGCCTGGCTACCAAATAAAAAGCGCTACTCAAAATACGAATCTACTTAAAGAGTTAAACCTTGATCTTAATCGCATTCCTGTGAATTATGAAAAAGTTTGCTCTTCTTAACAAAGGTTTCTCTATTACTATCGGTTTTTTTGTATGTTAGCATTTTGTGGGGTAGTTTCTTAGACAAGCATTGCAGGAGAAACCTCTTATAAAAGTTGATAGATCTATTGCTTTCGCAGGGGATTTCTGGGCGTTTCTAAGGCTTCTTATTTGCTGGCTCTACTGATGATGGGTGGGTTACATTATTCGAGGCATTGACATATAGCTAGCCCATTATCTTGTTCATGACTGATATGATTGAGTTAGCGTTGTCGACTACTGTGTTTTTTATTATATTTTTTTTTTTTTGGTTTTGGTTTTGGTTTGGGTGGGATTGGATGATGGAATGTGATGTCGATGATGATGGGTGCAAAGAAATACATAGCGATATAAAAACGAAATCTCTAAGAATGTATGGCATGCAATAACGACTAGGAACGATAGCTAGAAAGAACGAATTAGGGATGAACGAGCGAGATAAGTTGTAGAGAAGTAAAAGAGACGAGCTTAAAACGACGAGAGAGGAACGACGAAAGATCGACAACGATGAGGAGCGCACGATGATGAATCGAGTTCGTGATAAAGTAACGAGTAGCGAGTTACGAGTAGTGAGCAACTAGTAGCTAGTGCCCGCACTCGCCTTTCTTGGTGTTCAGAATGTTTTTTTTGTCTGTTTTTTTCTCTCTGCTGTCGTTTCGGGAGGCTAAGTTCACACAGAAGCTTTGGCTGTGGTTCGCTGCTTCCACTACGCAGCGCATTTTGATTAATTTTATTGAGATGAGATTGTAAAGACTGTGGGCATAATTTTCACAACTTAAGCCTAGATCGAACTCATACCAAGCAACACCCGATGTCCTGCTGCCGCCAGTCGCCCCTCCTCAATGCCACCTTCTGCGACGGTAGGTGACCTGTTCGTTGACCAGCTGCCAGAATTTGGCATTTAGCCAAAGAACGAACAGGAGCAGCTGCATGAGCAGCGGCCATTGCTGCAGCTCGTACCGCGTCCTTCGCACCAGCTGCTGCAGGCGACGTCCGCCTCGTTTACCCCCGCCGCCCATTGATCGATCCTCTGGCGGCTCATAGCTCAAGTTGTAGTTGTAATAGTAGTAATAGTTGTTGTTGTAGTGCTGCATCTCCACCGGCACCACATCTAGGGATTCACCCTGCCCCGAAACTTGGCTGCTACATTGGTTTTGGGTCTCTAATTGTTGATGATGTGGAGGATGGGCCTCAAAGCTATATTGATTGGTTGCTGTTGGTGTTGTTGTTGTTGTTGTTGTTGTGGTATGATTCGTGGAATGGGTTGCATTATTGTTGTTTGGCTGGTTATCATAGTTATGGCGGTATTTTTGTGGTTTACGATAATATTACATGATAACGCATTTGCCCTTTTCGGCCCACGGATTGTTCTTCTTATCCGGCGCATTGATCAACGGATCGTTCTTCTCGTTCTCCTCGATGAACGAACGCATTCTGTAAGAAAATTTTAAGACATTTTATTAATAATTTATTCTCTTAAAGGGGTAATACGTTGAAGATAAAAATAGAGCTTCCTGAACCTAATGCATTTCCCTGTTCTCAGAATCAACTGGCTTTTCGCTCTCGTTATTCAGGTATTGTTCTTGATTTACGTGCATTTTTAACTTTTATGTATAGCAGCATGACTTTTTTTTTTTTATAAACTACTACAGACTCACTAAACTTACTACGCAGATCATTACTTTAAAAGTGGCTTATAAATTTTGATCCCATTTCGTTCACCTTTACCGTAAAACTTAACTGAGCTCCAACAATTTAATGCGGTAATCTCGTCCTTTAAAGCTCATAAATTGTGTAAGCTGTCGCTCGTCCTGGCCTTAGTTAAAAATCAAGACATTTTAAAGGGAATAAATACAAAAAAGGGGCATCCATCCGCACTTAAAGCTAAGCGGACATAAACTTGTAAATACCTTACTTCTGGTAAAAGAGGGAAAAAGGTGTTTGCAGGAGGAGAAACACAAGCTTATATTTGGGTCTGAATGGCAAAGGACAGCAAATTTTATGTTAATCCACACACAGATGGACATTAAAAATGTTTGAACAGTTTGCACGCGCCAAGGAAACTAACATTTCAAAAACCCCCATTTGGAAAAAATTTTCCTTATTTACCCCAAACCCGAAAAATATAAAAATTCGCATATAAATTCAGAGTGTTGTTGCCGCACTGCCATTGTTGTTTCTTTGTTGTTGTAATTCGCTTATCCTTTGGGGCCATAAAAATGGAGGTCCTGCCGTTCGCATTTGTCCCTCACTTTATTCCCTCTGTCTGACTGTCTCTCTGTCTGCCTGCCAGTCTCTTCCCCTTCATCTGTTTATCTATTTTATTCCGTTTTTGCTACTTTCTCCTCAAGACAAAACATTTCGTATATTTCCCTCTTCCACTCGTCCACACTTTTCGTTTTTTATTTTGCAAAATTTGCAAGAATTTATTTATTTAAAGGGAGTGTTTGCGAGGAGAAGAAAGCTGCTTGAAGGCACATCTTCTGGCAGCTGCGAAATAGACAGTTGGAGAGACAGTCGTCTGGGAATGAGTTTTGCATTTCAATTTGTTAGTTTGGTTTCTTCCTGTCTCTCGCATTCAACTTTATTCCTGAGTCTCTCAAATACAAAGCCCTCTTTATTGCTTTCTTGTTAATAAGACTTTGTGGAAGTTGTTGAATTAAAAGGGTACAAGTGCTATTTACTTTCGTTGCCAAAAGTTGTCTTAAGTGAATGGAAGTTCTCTTTTAGAAAGTAATAGTTATGTTAACTGAAAATAAAACTCTATAGAAGGATTATATAACTAAATACTTGATTAAACATCCAAACTGTATTTATCATAACTTTTAAATATGTAATAACTATTCAAATACCCAATTGAAAGTTTGAGGAAAACTGCATGAAAATGTTTGTCTTTTATGCTGGTCAATCTAACCAACTTATTTCAGAGAAAAGGAGAAAGCTCCAGGCACTTTTCCCATTCCAAAAAAGCCAGTAAATAAATACTTCGATTGCCCATTTGCCTTGGTTGCTTTCTGCACTTTCCGGCAAACAAATTGCATATTCCAAAAGCGGCAGCATTTTGTGGCTTATTTATTGGACAAATGTTTTCTTTTGGCTTCTTGACCAAATGTTGCAGCTGTTCTTTGCCTTTAAATTGCCCTATTCCGCTTTTCCACAGGATTATAATTTATTTTGTTTTGGGTGCGGTGTGTTTGTGTGTGTTTACGCTTTCATTTGACCGCAAAATTGCTTTAAGCATTTGTGCGGTTGCTTTGATGTACAGTGTTTGTTCGATTAAATATAATGATTTGCATTGCATGTCCTGCAGGACGTTCAAATTATTCGCGCGTGTGTGTTTTGAGATGTTTGCCGTGAATAGTTTTGATTGTTTCTGGCAAACCCCTTTTCCACTGATTGCTCCTGCCTGGCTCTCAATTATCAAATGCCAAGGTGTGCAGGTGGGGTTCGCCCTTGGTGTAATAATGGGCGTGGCATGCATGCATAATTTAACTTAACAAGACCATGTCGTCGGTAGCGATGTCCTTGTTACTTCGGTGTCGTTATCCTCATGCCTTCGCATACGTACGTAAGTTGGTGTGTGTGTGCGTTGGATTTTCTCTATTTCCTTGCTCATTTTCCGCATCAACAGAGCAAAAGGCAATATCATGCCAGCGGTTGGGAATATATATCCCACGAAGGACTGCCTAAAACAATGCCCCCTGCATCCCGTAGCCCCCTTCAGTTTTTCGTCTCTATTCGCCCTGGCTAATGGGCTTATGACTTTGCGGTTTCAGCCTGTGCAACCGGGAAAACTCACACAGACACAGACCCAGCCTTATATATAGAAACGTAAAAATAAAAATCCACAGAGCTTAGGAAATATTCTTTTTGGTTTTCTGCTGTTTTCTCTGCTCTTTTTTGTTTTTGTAAGGGTAAACAAAGGCCAAGGGTTTTCAGGGGTTCGAGATTCGGTTCGGCAGTCAAGGCCAGGTCGAAGCGCAGTAAACAAAGTTGTTATGATGACGCTAGGTCTTTGGCAACCTAAAAGTAAATTTGGAAAATACCCAGGGAATAAAGGCCTTCCACTGACCTTAAGGTTACAGACTCCAGCTTGGCGCTTATCATTTAACCCTTTTAGTAAGAGTGTTGCTGAACATGCATTTTTAATGAGAGTATCAAAGCAGATTGAAAAGAGAAAAATAACAATGACCTCGGGACCCCTTAAAATATCTAATTTTAAAAGCCAGAACAAATAAGAAACAAAAATGAAGTAATAGCAATTAAAATTTACTGCCCATCATCATCAGGCTTCCATCATTATTCAGGCTTGCCAAAGTTTAGCAGACTGTGTAAGCCAAGAAATAGTCTAGAAATTCGCTGCTGAGTTTTCTATTTGCCTTCGAGCTTCTTAGGCTCACAAGTGCATGACATCATTAGCATCTGTGATGAGTTTCCCTTGTTTTGGCAACTTTTCTCATAACACAAGTAGGTAATGGGAATATAAGTAAAAGTAGACGAAATGCCACAGGGACATAAAAAACTTTTATTCGTCATCTGCATTTAATTTGAGTGCCTTTGCCGAACATCAAGGAAACCCGGCATGGAAATGTGTAAGCAAAAACAGGTTGAGTGCCTCTCAAACTGCCATTCAGCGGCGAACACATTGAAAACTAATTCAGCAACCGTTAATTTAATATGTGGACCACAAGACCATAGTCTCCCATCAAGTCTGAAGCCCCTTTTGCTAACCGCAAAACCCGCATGGCCATGTCGACCACGCTGGGCTTTTATGTGCTAATTGAAAGACCTCCCAATCCACAGTCTGCGTTCCTACACATACAAATGTATGTACTTCCCGGTTGAAATGGAACTGTGAACTGAATAAATGTAAGAGCTTGAAATGAAAAGTCACTTGGACGCAGTTCCAGACATCATCAACCGAGGAGAGAAGTCCTGACAACATTTTGCTTTTAGGGTTAGGCGAATTAATGTTCTGTGGTGAACATTTCTGAAATCAGAAATCAGAATGAAAGAAGGCAGGAAGTTGGACCGCAAACGTGGAAAGATGATGATGGAAATTAAACGATAATGAAAATCAGCGGATGTTTGCATTAGCAGAAATAAATAATTCAAAGGAAGCTAAATGAAATAATTCAAATGGAATGAGCTAGCTAATAGAAAATGCTATTTGAACTAGAAAATGTTTAAATTCATATATAATATTTACTTGTCAAATTGAATTACCTAACTAAGCCCTTTAAGGTAAGCTTAGCTTTTATTAATAATCATAATTCCCAATTTAATGCTATTTGATGTCTTATATCTATCTTATTATTTACATTTACCATTAAACATAATTGTTTGGGACCGCAAAGGGACATAAACCTTAATTGACAGGAAAACAGACACCGTTATGTAATTGAAATTAAATTGAAATGAAATCAACGTGAAATTTCGTGCTGATGATTTCGATTAATGAAGCAATTTGTCGTATGTATCTCACAGAATGAAATTCGATTTAAAGGTCTAACTCACCCACATCAATCTGAGCTCAACAAACACACACACACACGCAACCTATAATTAAATGCCAGACCGACATTTGGAATTTCTTCCTGCTTTTTCAGCCTGAAACCATTCAAGCAATCGTTTACCTTTGAAAGTTTTCTACCTTTTCCGGTCTGTCAGCTGCACAAAAAAAAACACAAACACGAGGTAAATGTTGATTTATGACAACCACAACACACACACACGCAAATGTCTATGTGCCTATACGTAATCACACGCAATCTTAAGCGCCTGAAAGCATGCTACAAAAAGCATTATTTATCGATGGCAACCGCAGCAGCAGAAGGCGGTCGCATTCGAAAGCAGATAGCTTAGATCCAACAGCTCCGAAATTAGAATTGCCTGCTTTTTCCCAAAGCCCAGAGCTCAACCCAAGTCTCCAGCTTGCTTCACCGACCCCCACCACCACCAAAAAAGCAAGCCCCAACCGCTGTCATAGCTCCCACATACATTTCATATTCAGCTTGGGTAAACAAATGCGTCAGCCACATGTCAATTTGCATCTGCGTGTGTTTTCCTGAGTGTGCATGTGTGTGTGTGTGTTTGCCTTTATCTCAGCCCCAACCCCCTTCTTCCTCAACAAACAATGTTTATCTTTGCCACGCATGTGACAGAAATGAAAAGCTTAAAATTTCATTTCAAGCCTATTATAATTGTTTACACACACATTGGTTGGTGTGGGAAATCCGAAAACATTCCTAATTCTCTTCCTTTCTATCAGGTATCCATTATATTCCTATTTAAATATATAGAAAAGCAATTTGAGGAGAGAGCTTTGAACAAGTTTTACATGCTTGTATTTTTATAAATATTTTAATGAGATGATAATTTGGCTGCAATTGATTTTGTTTTTAATTAAAAGAACAGTTGTTGGGATAAAATTC